CCTTTGGGATTTCTTTATTGTTTCTACTTCCATTTATAGATCCTGGATGGATTTGTTTAATTCTTTCAGCAGTGTGGTGGAGTTATCTTGCAATTCTTTAAGGGATTTTTGTTTGTCCTCTAACGGTCTTCCAACTTTTTCCTGTGCTCTTCTGTATTTCTTTAAGGGAGTTATTTATATCCTTCTTAAAGTTCTCTATCATCATCATGAGAAGTGATTTTAAATCTGTATTCTGCTTTTCCAGTGTAATGGGGGTGTCCAGGACTTGCTATGTTGGGAGAACTGGGTTTTGATGTTGCCAGGTAACCTTGGCTTCTGTTGCTTATGTTCTAGTCCTTGCGCTTCATCATCTGGTTATCTCTAGTGTTACCTGCATTCACTGTCTCTGACTGGAGCCTGTCTCTCCTGATATCTTGCTTTTGTCAGAGGTTCACAGAATCTAGTTGCCTCTGTGTTCCTATGTTCCTGAGATCCTGAGTGCAAGAGCTCCTGGGACTCAAGCTGCCTCTCAAATACTGAAATCCTACAATCCTGGGCATGTTAGAGCTCCTGAGAAAACAGCTTGCTCAACTGCTCTGAATGCAGTGGTTCCTCTGCTGATAAGGTTCAGGATATGGTTTCTTTACGGGAGCAGACCAGCTACGAGTCTGCTCCTTTGGAAAGGATCAATAATGGGCATAAAGGGAGTGGTATTCCAGAGGGTGGGGTTTGAGTGTGTTGTGTGTCCTGAGTGACCTAGGATCCCAGCTGTAGCTCTGGGTCATAGGGTTGAGGGGGAGAGTTCTTACCTGCTACTCTGAGTATAGTAGTTCCTCTAGGATGGGTCAGGAAATGGTGTTTCAGGGTAGCAGACCAGCTAAGAGTGTGCCCCAGCAGAAAGGAACCAGTGTAGCCATCTTACTGGTGTACAAAACAGCCTTTTACCACCTTTGGGAGGGATTCCAAACCTGTGTCCCATTGTTAATATTAATGACTGCTAGTTTTGAATTTCCTGCTCTGTCTCTTTCTCTCTGTGTCTTTCTCTCTCTTTCTCTCTGTCTCTTTCTTTCTCTGTGTCTCTCTGTCTTTTTCTGTCTGTCTGTCTGTCGTCTGTCTGTCTGTCTCATGTGTTTGTGAGTAGTGTGTGTGTTTTTGTGTGTGTGTGTTTGTGTGTGCATGTGTGTGTGTGTGTGTGTAGCCCCTCATGTACATGTATATTTACACATAGTCAACTAACTAGCACACACAAAAACAGGCAGCGATGGGTCTGGGGGATGAGTTTTGGAGGGCAGTATTGGTTAGAGATTTTCTTACAGTGGTAACCTGAACTATACCCACTGAGACAGTAACTAGTTCAGATTCCTTTCAGAGCCTTTTCGCTGAGTAGTGGGCCTGCTAGGGTAGGTTTCTCCTGTGGGCAGAGCTTGTGTGAGCACTGAATCACTTCAGGTCAAGATACTTCTTTTTGTTTTCTTTATTGTCTTAATTTTAAGGATAAGTTTTCTCCATCAAGGCCTGGATGGCCTCCATGTAGCTGTACTTGCCTCCAACTTAGAGATCTGCTTGCCTTTGCCTTCTGAGTGCTAGGATTAAATGCGTGTTCCACCATACCCAGCTAAGTTTTTATGTGATGATGTATGTTACTGTGGCAACATCTGTGAGTATAGGTAACCACAGTGCCTCAGGCTTTCACCAATTCCCCCACACTGTGAATCTACTTCTAGGCCCCTGTATAAGAGGACCCCCTTAGGGTAACATTGATGCTACCAGTCTTCATACTTGCAGTCTGAATGCGTTGGTTTGAGTGGACAAGTTTGGTGGATTCTTGCTGTTTGTACATTGTTTGTATGTGTATGTGTGATTGTGTGCATGTGTGTGTATATTTGTGTGTCTGTGTTTGAGTTCCTTTGTCTGTATTTTTGAATGTGTATGAGTGCATGTGCGTTTGCATGTGTGTGTGCATGTGTATGTGTGTATGTGTATGTGTATGTGTATGTGTATGTGTATGTGTATGTGTGTGTGGACACCTGTGTCTATGTGAGTGCCTGTGTAAGTGTGTGTATTCCTGGCTCATGCCCTACTTAGTGTCCTACATACACTGACTTGCCACTGTAGTTGAGGTATCAGGTTCTTCCAGGCCTTTTGGTTTTGATTTGTACTAAGGTGGTAGCTATGACTAGGTGAGAGAGGCTCATGTAGAATGCTCCTCCTGTGGTCATCTTGCCATGCTATGATGGAGCACCCTGCTGTTTCTGTACTTGATGTATGTCAATATCTGCCCCGAGGCTCAGACAGAGATGGAATATGAGACAGGCTGTTGTCATGTCACCATCCCAGTCCCAGATTTGCCAGAATGATGGGATGGGTCCTAAGGTTTAGTTCATCAAAGACACATGACCTTTTGATATCTGTTCCCTTGTGAGAAGCATGTTGTACCATCCCAGTTACACAGGCAACACTACATGACACACACACACATATATATCTTGGCCACAGATACCTTTCCTGGGTCTCTGTGGCAGGGAACACAAAAGAAAGCAGAGAAGCAGAAGGAGTGCGGACTAGTGTCCTGGAAGTGGCTGCTGAGGACAGAGATGTCCAGAGAGAAGCCAAATAACCAAACTTGTTGTTAACAGGCATCCTAGAAGGCCTCTATCTAAGCCTGTCTCTGATCTTCCAGAGTAGGCTAATGCAGGATATTTAGATTTGTGGCTGCAGGGTGGTTACCACTGGCATTCCGTCCCTTAACAACTCCACCATTGTCCAATGAGTGGGGCTGAAAGAAGCAAACAAACACCAGCCAAACAAAAACCTGTCTGAGGTCAGCAGTAGGCTGGTAGGTACCTGTATTTAGATCCTCAGCTAGGATACAGGGAGCTCCTAGGTAGCTGAAGTCATGCTCAACTCCTGCAACATGCTCCTGGTAGTCTTGCCAAGATCTTGGTAGAACCTACCACAGGCTCCTTGTGTTCCACCAAGTGACTGAAAGAACGTGTTTAGGATGTGGATGAAGTACTGTTGTCTTGTGGGTGCCAGGTAAAGATGGCCAAATCAGTGGCTGGCAAGTGGCTATTGGAGTCTGTCTGAGACCAGCTTGGAGTGTTTCCTAAGTTTTTCTGAATGAAAGATCTCTAGGGCCTTTCCCATTGAAAGAGGCATTTGCCCAGGTTGAGAGGTGATTAGCTCTCCACTGGGATTCCTGGACTCTGGGTGAGAGGCTATTTGGATCTGACTCTATTCTGCTTTGCGTTCTCTGTGGTCATTCAGAAAAGCTGCATGTGGGGCAGTATCAACCAATGGGATTCAGTCGTCAGGACTTGGGATATAGACCCTTTGGTACCAGCTTGTCTAGATTCAGTTTTTTTGAGCTGAAGAGTCTGCTGAACACAATTGGCTTTAGCTGATGGGTATACCACTGTGGTAGCTAGCACTGTAGTAATAAGCATAGTAGTAGATCTTTTCACACAAAGCCCTGCCGAATAATGGCTCTGTTTCTGCAGCAGTTGGGACCACTTGGGCAGAGGCAGCAGGGCAGAGTCTTAGTGGCCATCCTGAGTCGAGGTCCAGATTTTTTCCTTCTGTGCTTCTATCTCTTTAGAGAGGTCCTAGGCAGGAAGCAGGGTCTGGGGCTACCACCTGGCTGACTTCCCAGCACCCCTTGGCCTCTCAATGCCTGGATGGACTTTGCTGTGGGAGGGGTGGTAAAAACTACTGGAAAGATCAGTCTCTAGGTGACTTCCTCATGGACAAGCTGCCTTCCTTCCTCCTGGGGGAGGCACTGTGCTGATGCCTTCATCTGCAGTGGAGATGCTATAGTTTCTGATGTTTTGGTCTGGAAGTTAGAATGACCCAGATCTTATGGACTCAGACCTCTGGAGGGGACTCTCAGGAGGCACCTGGGTGATTCTGGGGCTACATCTTAGTCTAGTGAGGGGACCCTGGGTGCACTAGGTACATTCATCTCTCCTGTTACACTTTTGTGTCTGATGATTCTCTTGAGTGATTTTTTTTTTAATCTGGGCTGGGAACATTAAGTCTTGCTGCCCATTAATTTCATGCCATGTGTCTTTCATTTCATGCCTCTTTTAGTTAGAATGTCCTCAAGATTTCCAGTAGGGTCATTTCCTCTCTTCTGCAATCTGACATTTAATACTGGCAGTCTTTAAGCTGCTTCAGAGTGCTGACAAGGGTCTCATGAGCCTTGAGGAGCCTTTTCCAAATTGTTCTATAGGCTCATGTCCCCAAGTTGCTCACAAATGTTAGAGCACATAACCAGATAGGAACCAAGCCACTTCCTCCCTCTCTTCCCTCAGTGAGAGCATCCTGTTGGTGTCAGGTGCAGTAATTCTAGTGGTCCCAAAGGACAAGTAGAGTCTTATTCATGAGACTCCTGGATGTGAGCAGGAAAGCTGCTTGGAGAGTTGAGAAAGTGCATTATGTTTGATTCCAGGAGTCCTGCAGAGTTTTCCCCTATACGCTTAGATGAGATATCTATTTTTGAGGGGAAGTCAATTGATTATCTCCCTCCTCAATTTTTATCTCCCATTATATAAAATACCTGCTGCAGGGCAACTTATCTTTGTGGTTTAATCACATGTCTGAGCCAGGGCTTGTCATGGACTTCATGGTGATACCCATCTTTTACCCTTTACATTAACGAGACTCTTGGAAAAAACTCAGAGGTTGCTTTTCATTCTCCAAAAGTAATAGACATGTAGGCACTGTTGTTGAACCTGGAAAAAGTGTGTGGCATGCCTCTTTGAAGTTCATACTAACTGAGTCTGCTGGTCTTGCCTGCTGAGAACCCATCAGCCTGCATGCTTATAGAAATCCCAATGGTCAGGAAAGAAACATACTAAAGGTTAGAAAGTGACAGGCAGTTTGGCCTCAGACAGAATCAAAGATAAAGTATGTTCATAAGAGATGGACTTTAAAAAAAACTTTAGAGTTCAGAGGTGTCCAGATATAATTCTTAGGTCTCATGATATTAGAGAAACAACACCACAATATTTACATGTAGAAATATCCAAACTTTTGTGCAAAACCCAAAAGGGTAAAATATTTGTGAATAGTTTAACTAAAACTCAAAGAAAATATGCTCAGAAGAATTAAAACACATTTCTAGCTCAAAGGCTAATGTAGACAGTATTTACTTCTAACTTCCAGATAAAACAAAACAAAACAAAACAAAACAAAACAAAACAAAAAAACAAAACAAAACAACCATGAGAAACATGAACCAAGATAAAAATAAAAATTGACTTCTAGAAACAGCCCCAGAGTAGTGGCATTGGGAACCAAATACATTCATGTAAAGGAAAGTGTGGAAATTGTATTTTACATTTCAGAAAACAAAGGAAAGGATTGAGGCTGTCAGAGAGACTCCTCTTCCCCTTCTGACTTTTCTTGCACAGGCACACTTACAGGCATCCCTTTTGAGCCTATTTAGCCACAAACTCAGCTAACACATTCAGACTGAATTCCTGCCACACCCAGTGACTGTTATCTAACTTAAGTTGTCTGGGTAACCACTGGGGTTGGGAGCCTGAGGAAGCTCTTGGTCTTTTGTCAGTATCTTCTAGACCAGGCAGTGGGCACAGCAGAGGGATTTAGCTCCAACCAGGATGTTATCTGTGACCTGGGGCATGAGGCTAGTGGAAAGACCTGTGGTCCCCAGGGTCCTCCTCTTGCTGTTTGCAATCTGGCTGCTCCTCCTGGTTCCAGTCCTGTGTTCTCAAGGCCATCCCACTTGGCGTTACATCTCCTCAGAAGTGGTTATTCCTCGGAAGGAGACCTACCATAGCAAAGGAATTCAAGCACAAGGACGGCTCTCATATAGCTTGCGTTTTAGAGGCCAGAGACATATCATCCACCTGCGAAGAAAGACACTCATTTGGCCCAGACACTTGTTGGTAACAACTCAGGATGACCAAGGAGCCTTACAGATGGATTATCCATTTTTTCCTGCAGATTGTTACTATAGTGGCTACCTGGAGGGGATCCCTCAATCCATGGTCACTGTGGATACTTGTTATGGGGGCCTGTCAGGGGCCATGATGTTGGATGACCTTGCCTATGAAATCAAACCCCTCAACGATTCACAGAGGTTTGAACACCTTGTCTCTCGGATAGTAGCTGAGTCTGATGGAACGGGGCCTATGAATGCATGGAAGCACTTGAGTCATAATACAGGTCCTCCCTTCTCCAAAACGGAATATGCCGATGGAGCTCCCAGAATTTCTAGTAAGAACTATGCTACACATCCAGCCTCTATAAAAGGCCATTTTATAATGACCTTTTCTTTATTTGATGATATTACCAGCAACGTTAATGAAAATAAATTTAAGAGTGTTATGGACTATTCGTTTAAACTAATTAGTTTAATGGACACCTTTCTGACCAAAATTCATCTGCGGTACTATGTCTTTCTCATAACTGTGTTTACTCAACAGGATCCATTTCCTCATGACTTTAGTGAATCAGGGCAAGCTCGTTCATACTATACAAATTACTTTTATTATCAGTTTACGCCTGATGCAGCACTTGCAGTTGATAATTCGGACCCACATGATTCTCAGGTCAATCCACAGGAAAAGTCTCTATGTACTGCTAATTCCCTAATTTTTGTTGGTAGGCATAGGAGACATTTTATAGCTTTATCTGTTTTCATTACCAATCGTGTTGGAAGGAGTTTAGGTCTAAAATATGATGATGAGACTTACTGTGTCTGTCAGAGAAGGAACACCTGCATTATGTTCAGGAATCCTGATATAACAGATTCATTCAGCAATTGTTCCCTTGTGGACATAAGCGACATTGTTAATACTCCTGGTCTGATGTCATGTCTTTATTATGACCGCAAGGTTTATTATAATACAACATATACCTATACTTTTTGTGGAAACTTCAGAATAGATGAAGGTGAACAGTGTGACTGTGGCTCACATAGGGCATGCTATGCAGATCCCTGCTGTGGAAGTGATTGCAGGTTAACACCTGGTAGCATTTGTGATAAAGAACTATGCTGTGCAAACTGCTCCTTCAGTCCTTCTGGGGTACTCTGCAGACCTATCCAGAACATATGTGATCTTCCAGAGTACTGTAATGGGAATACATACTTTTGCCCAAGTGACACTTATCTGCAAGATGGGACACCATGCTCAGAAGAGGGGTACTGCTATGAAGGCAACTGCACTGACCGAAGTGTACAGTGCAAGGAAATCTTTGGTGTAAGTGCTAGGAATGCTAATACTAGGTGCTATGACATCAACAAAGAAAACTTTCGATTTGGGCATTGTACTAGAGTGCCAGAAAGTCTCACATTCAATGCTTGCAGTGATGAAGATAAGCTGTGTGGAAGGTTGCAGTGTACCAATGTCACCAATCTTCCTGTCTTGCAAGAACATGTTTCATTCCATCAGTCGGTTATCTCTGGGTATACCTGCTTTGGGCTGGACGAACATCGTGGGACAGAAACAACAGACATTGGAATGGTGAGACGTGGTAGTCGGTGCTCCACAACTAAGTTCTGCAACCATGGAGCTTGCAGTGGACATTTATCTCAGTTGAATTATGATTGCTCCCCTGAAAAATGCAATTTTAGAGGATTGTGTAATAATCATCGGAATTGCCATTGTCATTTAGGTTGGAAACCTCCGAATTGCAATGTAGAGGGACCTAGTGGGAGCACAGACAGTGGATCCCCTCCGGTTCACAGGCGCACAATAAAGCAGAGCGAAGAACCAGTGGTATTTTTAAGAATGATCTTTGGTCGTATTTATCTCTTGTTTGTCTCACTGCTCTTTGGCATAGCCAAACGTGTAGGAGTTATTAAGATTTTTACAGTTGAAGGGTTGAAAACTGCTTTACATTCTGGACCAGGAAGACGACCAAGGTAAAAATGACTTATATCCTTGGCCCCCGTAATATAATGAGAATGCAAAAAACAAAATCTGCATGTCAGTAGGGGACAAGGGAGAATTCCAGTCCACAGTTCTGGAAGGCCTTTGTTTATATCATGGGGACTCAAGACCTGTTGGATCTGGACACCACCTGAAATTGGTGGTACGCTGATGCTCACACCGGAATAAATTTTTCAAAACTTCAAACTGGTACTTTTGAATCTGTACTTTGTATATGTCATTAGAATGCCTGGGTCTGTGGGGTGGTTAACTGGGACTGGGGGACCACCTTAAAGAGAGAACAGGGCAACAAGGGACGTGAGAAATGGACAGCACGTTAAGAGGTCTGGTCAAGCTGTCAAATTCTATGTCAGGCGATATACACATAGAAACATGATATACACATAGAAACAGAATATAGGGTACGGGGGTGATGTAGGGTCTCTTTGTTTCTGGGGAGTGCCGGTGTTCTTAGGGAGGGAGTGCACGTATTCTCAAGAACACGATATTGGCTGAGTAAAAAGTTCAGTAGAAGGAACAGAACAGAACAGAACAGAACAGAACAGAACAGAACAGAACAGA